TGGATCAACTATTCTGGCTGTGCCCCCTCCCAGTTTCTTGTGCACCTGGCAGAGCATGGGAAGCTGAAAAGTCCTTGACTAGCATAAGCAGTACTCAGCAACAACTAAAAACATCAGCGTGTTATCAGCATTCTTCTCCTACTAAATCCAAAGCACAGCACTATGCCTGCTACTAGGAAGAAAATTAACTCTATCCCAGCCAAAACCAGGACAGCTGCTTGCTGTTGCATGCAGTTTATTCATGGCCTCTCATGATGCTGATATACAGAGCATAAGTACATATTCTCTGCTGCAGCAGATGGTTTCTGCTTTCCGTGCCTTCCACGTGGGGCAGATGCTGCAAAATCAGATTTCCCTTGGGCATAACCTTTGATTGGCATCTGTCTGCCAGTCGCCATTTCATAACCGGTCCTGGAAATGGCTTTGGACTGTCTGTATGACTTGTACATCTGATGCCTGGACTAACGTGGCTTGTTGGAATATGCTGGATGTCTGACGAGTTATTAAGGCCATTAGTCGTGCTATAAAGCATGTGACAGCAAGACAGCACTACTTGAATGAGCCAGGATGCTTGATCTTGAGATGGAAATTCGCTGAAAGGTGTAGTTCCCTGGTGTTAATCCAGATCAAATGAAGCTCTCTCCAAGAGCAGTTGTCCCGCTGTTTGTCACTGTTCCCATTCTTGCATTCAAGCTCAAACACCAAGCTTTTTTGGGGGTTGATCCAACTTATTCCTCGGCCATGTGAGCGCAGGGAGGCAGTGGGAATGGGTGAGAGTAGACTGAGGATGGGACGATCCCTTTTGGTGGCAGCCCACAGGAGCAGTTTTAGCATCTTGGAAAACCTGAGGCCAGAGTCGTGTGGCTGCACAGCACCATAGTGGAAGCAAAGTCTGAGTTTTCAGCTTTGATGTCTGCATTTGCTCTCATTCCAGCCATGATGCTTTAATCTCCAAAATGTTATGCTAGGATTTTGCTGTGCTCAGCTTGAATTTTTTCCAAGACATCGCACTGCTGAAATAGCAGAATTTGCCTGTGGATTCCAGTGCAGTGATCAGTCTGTGTTTATTGGGGTGGTAAACTTTCCACGAGAGCAAGGGTGGAGCGGGGCCATTTACATACAGTAAGGCCAAATCACTCAGCAGCAAGACTGAAGCCATTAAGCAAATTCAGATGATTTCTGCTTGCAGCAGCCTCCACAGTAATAGGCTGCTTTTTCTCCAAAGCGGAACCTGCACATGTCGTGCCTGGATTTTCTTGCCTTAATATGTTGGTCATGTTTAATGCCATAGAGAAATTCCTTGTTTAGATGTTGTTCTGTACATCAACTGCATTAAACTGATCATGGTTTGTATTTCAAGTGTTGAGTTGTACATTTGAATCCTCAAGAGGAGACCTCTGCTCTGCCCATGGCTTTTCATTCTGCACTCTTTGAAGCCAGAACTGTTCATCTAGGACAGACTTCACAGCACCAGGACTTACTTTGACCTTTTCAGTCCTCTGCTGACACAATTGCTTGCCATTAAAAACCTCAAGTTCGACTGCCTGGACAAAAGATAATTCTTCCTCAATCACTCTCTTTTGTTGATGATGTCCTTCTTAAGTATTTACAGATCTACTGGTGATATTTGTGGAGTTCATGTGGTTCATCACAGCAATGGACTCAGTGGGTCCAGGACACATTCCTTGTTGCTGAAATAGAGCCAAACTACATCCTGAATTGTGTGGATGGGCTGTGATTAAATACAATTTTATGCAGATTTTTTTAGGCTGCTCCTTTTACTGTTCATAAGAAGAAGGGGTCCAGAGATGCCTGTATCTCAAGTTTGCAGAGAAGCACCCTGAAACCATCTGCCTGCTTGGATCCTGCAGGCATCAAGCCTTAATATTTGCATCAAGCTTACAACTTCTCTTTTGAGCTTTGCCCCTTCCTAAAATGATGCTAAATGTTGACTTGTGTTTGAGTGAGCTGAGGGTGCATTACCCTGTGTCCCTCATAACTTTATTTCAGTAACCAGTGTGGAGCTGAGGAGCCCTGGCTTGAGCTGGGAGGCTCTGAAGGGCTTGTCAGCAATGCTCCTTTGGGTCTAGGATATGTGAGTGATGCGGCCTGGGTCTGAAAATGAGATATATGTTCCAGCATTTTTATTCTAGTAAAGCTAAGAGGTAAGCTGCAGAGCTGGCAGCATTGCTGCTGAAAAACCTCAGAGAAAAATTGAACCCTAAAAATATACCTGAAACTAATAATGTCTTCTGTAGGCTGGCACTTAGGATGCTTTTTTTAATATTCTTTGCTGTGAAGCTGTAGACCTTCACCTTGCAGGAGCTCCCACCTAGAGCAGAGCCTTCCTGAGGTTTAAAGCTGAGAATGATACTCCAAGCTCATGGGGTACTCTTGGCTTGTAAGGGTGTGAGTGGGTAAAGCCAACTCAAGGGGTTAGGACCCCAAAGAGCACTAAATAGTTGTGTTGCTTCCTTTCCTACATGAAATCCCCATCTTTTGAGTCTTGCTGCAATTTATCTTCCTGGTTCTTACATCCAGTAGGAATTTAATTTTAATTGCAATGCTCTCTCTTTACCAAGTAATGCTGTAAATTTAATCCTTTGTCCTTGCTCTGGGAATGGGATTCTTTGCCTTCCTTAAGAGCCTTTCTGCAATTTTACTCTCCCGTACACCTTAATTAGCACACTCCTAATCTGAGTGGTTTCCTTCCTGATTTGCACTTTTCAAGACTGTTATCCTGATACAGAAATTGTGGTAGAAGTACTCACTGTATGTATATCTTGAATTTATAATGGTCTCAAGTTTTAAACTTTCCATAGAATATTCTGGGTTTCTAGTCTATTGTTCTCTATTCTTCTTCTATTATTCTTTAAAAATTAGAGATTATGATCTTGGTATTAGAGGTAACATAGGTAAGTTCTCATCAGATTTTACTGAAAACTCAATGGCTCACCATGAGTTACTTCAAGAGCTATTGCAATTATTCAAGCCCACAGCACTAAGCTGATGGCATTAAATTATCATTCATGTTGGTTTGGGGATATTTGAAAATGTTTTAGAGCTGCCTGGATCACATCCCATCATTGTTCGACTTTCTGAATTGCTTCTATATCAAACCATCCTGTTTTCTTAGAGGACTTAATTGCTGTTAATGCTTCCTAAAACATGAGGCTCTGTTAGGAGCAGTAGCCCCCCAAGACCGGGTTGGGTAAATGTTTTACATAGGACATAAAACTCCAGTTAGACTGGAAATTCCTGCAATACTCTGTAGTATCTCATTAATGCATCCTGATGACTGATACCTAATATGATTCCCCAAGCATGTGAGTTAACGAGATTAAAACCATCCTACGGTAATCTTTGTCAAGCTGCATTTTGTTCTTTTTGAGTAATACATGGGAGCATAAGTTCTGTAATATTTAAGCTTTAGTAATCACAGCACAGTATTTATTGTGTTGTTGGCAAGTTGTTGAGTGCCGTTGGGCAGATTAATGAGGCTTTCCTAAATCTGTAGTAGGACTTAAAGTTATTATGTTGCTGACACGCTCCAGCCTTAGCGTTTCCTTGTTTTACTGCCTTGACCTGTGGTGGGCTAGGCTGCCTGAGCATGCCACAGAGCAGATACAAAACCTTGCAGCTACACATGCAATTTAATTCTGGTGTCTGACAATTAGTGAGGGTTTTTTGCTATAATTTTTTAATACTGATCCCTTACATAAATATAGGTGTATATGTGCATTTAGTTAAAACATGCTGTAAAATTTATAATCACTGTCTGTTGAGGTCCCATGCTATATAATTTATGGACCTCTGTGCAACTTTGTGAAAACAGACTGCGTGTATAGTAGTGCTCCCCATACTGAGCCTTTACACTGAATAGCAGGACATCATACCTTCATGTATTTAAGCAAAGATGTTTTGACATAGGACAAAACCCTGTATTTCAAAACAAAAACCCTTCCATTGTGGTTTGGAACTGCTTATGAGATGTAGACTGGAAATATTTTTTTTTTAAAAAAAGTGTTACACAGCTTGATATTGATGCTGGGATGCTGAACGCCTGCGCTAGATGCTGATTAGAAGAATTTGCAGTTAGCCCTGCACTGAATTCCTCCCTGTATGGGCTGGTCTGATTTTTCTTTTTGACTAAAAGGTAATTCAAGGAGCTCTGTGCAGCTCAGTGAGTGTTCAGACACCAAGGCTGTTTTTTTCCCTTTTCTTCTGGTGCCTTTCAGAAAGCTAATCCACGCAAAAAGCCACTGTCAGCTGAGTATAAATATTGCATACTCTTGCTGAGAAATCTGTTGCTGATCTGTTAGGTGGGAAGGGTAGGCTCTGGCTCCTACCAGTTGGGTGTTGAGAGTTTTGTGTGCGACTTAACGGCAAAATGGTTTGCACATATGCTTAATGACTATGATTGCTTATTTTTACATGGTGATGGGTCAAAATTTAAATCTTTGCTCTTTTTTAAAGGAAAACTTTTTTTTCCCCCTTTCTTGTGAGTATAAGAAGAGTAAACTTTGTGTAAGGTTGTGCTGAAAAACAATGGCTATGTATTATCTTCATTGAAAAAGCAGCTCTTTTTTGGACATGCCTCATTTTCTGCAAGGGCTATCATCTTCCTAGTTGCTCAGACGAGTGTCAGCCCATGTTTGGGGTTGTAATCTGCCTGGTGTTTACTGCAACGTAGGGAACTCTGTGTCTTGTTCCATAAGTCCAAGCATTTAAGCTGCCAAAGCTAGACACTTTCATGTGGTTGTGTTACTGCTTTGAAATCCATTTGTTCAAGGCTGTAGCTGAGCAAAGCCTGCACTGATTTGGCCTTCGGTTCATTCACAGTGCATGCTGAAACTTATTTGCTTGCTGGGCAATATCAAACAGAAAGGACACTCAAGAGGTAAAAATAAAGGCTCTGCCCAGCAAAACATTTACACACAGGAGGAAGGGTGTTAATGTTGTCCCATTGACTGATTTCAATTCTTTTCATATTCTTCCAGCTGAAGGGCTTCCCCAGGTGTATTACTTCGGACCATGTGGAAAGTACAACGCCATGGTACTAGAGCTGCTTGGTCCTAGCTTGGAAGATTTATTTGACCTCTGTGACAGGACGTTCACTTTGAAGACGGTATTAATGATAGCCATCCAGCTGGTGAGTAACAGCAGGGAGGGCTCTGCCCAGCAGTCTCCACGATGCTGACTCGTGTTTATGTCAGTCCTGGGTTAGCTGAAGGATGGGGTTGGTACAGTGCGAGGTTCAGGTGTGTCTGTCAGTTGGAGAGAGAATCTCCTTCCATTGTGGAATCACAGAATGGTTTAGGTTGGAAGGAACCTTCAAAGATCTAGTCCAACTGCCCTGCCATGGGCAGGGACATCTTTCACTAGGTAAGTTTGCTCAAAGCCCTGTCCAACCTGACCTCGAACACTTCCAGTCATGGGACATCCATAACGTCTCTGGGCAACCTCTTCCACCACCCTCATTGTGAAGAATTTCTCCCTTATGTCCAATCTAAACCTACCCTCTTTCAGTTTAAAAACATTGCCCCTTGTCCTGTCCCTACAGGCCTTGGTAAAAAGCTCTCCACTTTTCCTATAAAACAAGGCTCTTCGGGTTTGAGAAAAACTCTTGCTTACAAAAGGAAGGTCAAATTATGCTTATGAGCAAACTTGCTTCTTGCTTAGCAGAACCAATGAAGCTGGATTCCTGTGGACTTGTGTCCTGTGTCCCCTACATGCCCCTGCCCCAGCATCTACCCCAGCTCCCTCCCTCTGTTTGGACGTCCCCCAGAATATCTCATTTCTTACCCACTCCCATGGACACAGGGTGCACAGCACCCTCCCACGCTCCTACCAGTTTTACTGGTTTGGTGCTACCAGGCTGCTCATAGACTGAAACCTCTCAGAGCAATGGGAGCTGAGCTCTCCTTAGCCAAAATACCAGCATTTGAGGTCTCTGCCTTGGTCAAATTTGGTCAAAATTGGTCAATGGGTTTAAATGACTAACAGTTGGAAAATAATAGATATATGGGCAGGATCACAGAGCCTCTAATTTGCCTGAAAAGGAAAGGAAACCAAGCAGAAAGTGGTAGCTTTGATTTGTGTTTGTGTTAAAAGTGGGCAACGTGAAAACTGAACATACTAAACATAGTGAATGAGCTTCCACAAGTTGGTAGGGCCAATCAGTTATCATTTTAATTCGGCTTTCTGGTTTTCAACCTGTGGTCTGCAGGTATCCAAGTGGCACAGCAGAGGTGGGACTGTGTATTCACATTAACAGATCTGTGGATAGAAGTGTTGAAGGAAAGAGAAGATGATAAGGGAGTGATGAACATAATCCTTTCTAAATAAACTGAAGCTTGCAACTGCAGAATCTTAAATGGAAAACTGAGGTTACATGCAGAAGTTTGAACAGCGCCTGCCTCGTATTGGGTTTGTGAAGTTGTCCTCCTATGGCTGAGCAGTCTAGTTTTCTTGGCTTTGAGTGTTCCTTCATCAGTGGAAAACCAATTTATAGTATTGTTTTTCATTAAATCAAGTGGCATCAGATGGCAAAGCCTTGGATATAGCCTGTACGACCTTTTGGTTGTAAAGATGTAACATGTAAAGATGTAAATTTATTCCCATGAGACTGCTGGGGAAATCAAGGTTGTCACAGCAGTGTCCATCTGCCTTTTGCCAAGCCCTAGGGTTGCAGATTCGCTCTGTACTTGGATGGTCTTCACTGGCGTCGTCTCCTGACCTTGTGACCTCAACCAGCCTGCCAATTCATCTAGACACTGGTACCAGTTTGAAAAACAGTGCTTAGGGTGATGCAGGGGGACACCAAAAGCAGTCACAAATGGAGGAGATGATGTTCTCCAAAAGGAGCAGGCAGTGCTGCTCCTTTTTCCATGGGGAGATGTTTTAAGACCTTTCCAGTCTTCTCAGGAAGATTACATGGGTTACGACTTTGGAGCATATGCATTTAAGGATACAGATTTAGCATCTTCAGGTGTGCCCCATGTCCTTCCCTGTGAGGTTTCCTGGGAGAAGGGCTCACCTGGCCCTTGGAGTCATGTTTTCTGAAGGGGCTGGCACTTACTGCTCAACTGGAATGAAAACCCTTTGCTCCAGCCACAAGCCTTTGGGGGAAATTGTCTTGGATTTGTCTTAGTTCCTAACACTAAATAATTGCAGTCACTGTAACACTCTCCAGTGTCAGAGACACGTCAGAGAAGGGAAGCTGGACTGTCAAATTCAGTAGGTTCACCTCCATAAATTATGTTTTGCTTTTGCTTTTGACCAGCCAAGCCTGCCTAAGCTGCTGTAATTCTAACTGCAGGCCTGAGGAGACATAAAACTTCACTGTCAGAATCCAGTGCATTGCATGAGCAGTGTTTCTCTCCTCTGATGTTTGACATGCCTGTTAACAAAGCCTAATATCCAGGGAGACTTCCAAAAATGTGAATGGCCTGGTACCACCCAGACAGCAGAGAGGAACACCCTTCCCTGATGTAGGGAGTGAGGGACAACTCAGCACATTGCAGAAAACTGCTACTCTGATTTGGTTCTCATCAAAATGTCATCTTTTTTTTTTTTTTTTTTAAGCCCGGGAAGACCACCCAAAGGTAAAGCAGTACTACTTGTCTGGGAGGCCCCTCTGCAGTACGGAGCTTGGGGAGCTCCCAGGAATTGACCCCGATGCTGGGAGTCACCCTTGCGTTGCCTCTCCTGCCTCCTTCATCCCCTCTGGAGACAGAGGAAGGAGAGGTCTGCTGTGGATGTTTTTGCACACGTTGGAGCAGCAGCACTGGCAGCCAGGGTGCCCTGAGCTAGTGGTATATTAAGTGTTCACCCCTTTGTTCCCTAGATCTTTCTCCCCTCACTTGCATGTAATGGTCCCCATGTCTTTAGGAGCGTCCAGTCCCTTCTCTGCTGTTTGCATGGTTCCTTGCCCTTGGGTGCCACAGGCTGAGCCCAATAGCAGCCAGCTGCTGCTTTCAAGGTCCCATTTAGCTACCTTCTCCACACCTCTCCCTCCTTAAGCTTGACTGCTGCTGCAGCACATCTCCAACACATCTACACATGTGCTGCATGCTAAAACTAAGCAGGAACTTTGAATGCAGTATGGTGGCACTTGATCTCCTTTTTTTGTGTCCGGTGGTCAATTTTTAACCAGAGACATCCCTGAAAGGTGTTTTTTAATAAGCATACGTGCTTGGCTGGTCTTACTTAGCTTGACAGGTAGCAGCATCTCAGGACTGGGGTGGATCCTTTAACTCTACAGATGTTAGAAGAAAGAAAAGCCCTCTAGGAGAAACAAATATATCATCATTGTTTTAAGGAGTGTCACTTGTGATTATGGGAGAATCTAAACATTTACATCAAGACAACTCCTGGCTGAGGGAGCTAGAGACTGGACAATAATGAGTCTTCAAGAAGGACAGCCTGTTTTGGAATCTTTTCAGATGAGGTGACACAGTAGGAAGGTCTGCCTCAGCAAGGGGATGAGCCACACAGCCCTCAGGTTTGTCACTAGGCTTGCATGTTCTTCTGGTAAGCGTGCATTGTGTTCAGAGCTGTGGCAGCAGCTTATCAAACACAGTTTCAGTCGAATCAGAAATGCTCTTGGTCTAATGCACCGTTTCATACATCTTGGTGAAAACCTGCACTGAAGGAGTTCTCCATTTTTCTTTCCCAGTGGAAGTTTTCCAGCTCAGTTACTGTTGTAGCTTGTGTGTCTCTGATGCTTCACGTTGCTCTAAGAGCATCAAACTGGAACTGCTTCCTCCATCATCCGCGTGCAGCTGAATAGATCAAGTGGTTGTCATTCCTGAACAAAGCAAAGCTTGTAAATTAAAAACATGCTCACTAACATGAGTCCCTAAAGCCCGTAAATCAGAAGTCATCTTAGGGCTTAGTGGAGCTGACTCAGTGGCTGGGCTGGGCGAGGATGTTTTGTATTCTGGCTTCAGTTATTCACTCTTGGCCAGGTCCAACGTGTGCAATGCTCATTGACAACTCAGTTTTGTCAGGAGTAAATGTTATTTTCACCCTTGCTTTAAGTGCTTGTTGTCAGAGACAAGGCCTGTTGTGCCAGGCACTGTGCAAATACTTCTGGCTGTGATCGGGACCAAGTCATAGTGAAGTTTTTTACTCGTGAACATCAAAATCGTCTTGTATAAGACACACCAAAAGAGCCTTTAAACAGGAAGAATTTTTAATCTGTGCTGATCTGTTCTAAATTCAAGCAGGTGATGTGTGGAATAAGGGCTCAGATTTATCAGGAGGGCCTAAAGATGGGATTGCAAGCAAGATCAGATCTTCAAGAGTTACCTTTTTGGGGAAAGAGGGTTTGTTATGCTTGCTTCCTTGACAGGAGAAAGGAAAATAAAAGCATGGGTTTCTTTGGCATCTGATTAAATGTCACAAATATCCTCTCATTCCTGAGCCGCAGTGCAGGGGTCCTGCTGTGTGCCAGAGGATGCTCTCCTTCCCAGGGATTTCTCCGACATCCGAAATGGAGATTTCTGGCTCTAAAGATGGACTGAGCTGGCCGTGGCCATGGAAATCCTGCTTTAATTTGCAAGCAGAGTCTCCCATCCACCCCTAGTGTTCCTGTGCCCTATGATAAAATGCCATAGTCTGTTCTTATTACTGTTAAAATAACAGAGCAGATGTTAACACTGCTTCGCAGTCACTGTTTTTCCAGTGTAAAAGCAATTCCAACAGTTTGTCCCAGCTCCTTGCAGTGGTTTCTCTGTCTGTAGAAGAATTAATGCACAGACGTTAGAGCCTGTAGTTCAAATAAAAGCAGTGGGCACCATGTCTCTGCATCCAGTGCGTGTCTGGAGTGGGAACTCCACTCCTTCTTTAGCTCTGTGATGGGTCTGAGGCCAAGGTCACACTGCAGCAGCACTGCTCGTTTATTCTTGGGCAGCAAGCCTGGAAGGGCGATGCAGCGCAGATAGTCACCAGCTCCCCATCACTAGCAGCCACAAGCAGGGTGAGTGTCTTGTCAGGGTGAATAAAGCATGGAGGCTACTCTGGGAAACATCCTTCTGACGTGGAGAGCATCTTTCAGCCATCATTGGCTGTGCGCAGCTCTCTGGCAGCATATCATGAAGCATCCAGGCAGGTGGAAGTAAAGAAAAAGGAATATGAAAGACCCAACAGCATCTGTGTGTGTGTGTGTGGTGGAAGCAAAAAAAGCAGGTAAATAAGTATCTTCAAGTGCTGCTGGAGTTCATCTGACATCATTCGTCTGGATTGGTTCATCTGACCGCTGTCCAGGTTGTTGTCCTGGCCAATGCGACTTGCTGTGTGGTTTTAAGGAACAAAAACAAATACGCTTTTTTGGGGTTGTGTAATTGCTGTTGGCCATTTCAACAACTGAGCTTCTCTGGTAGCAGAGACAAATAAAATGAGCCAGTCAGGCTCTGTTTGAAAGTTCATTATGTATGGAGAGGCAAGGAAATGCTTTGTTCCGGTTGTAAGGGTTGCATCTTAATTTGAATTGCCTCCTGACATACCTTTTTGTCTTCCAACCTGCTGCTGTGTCCTGTAGGTGATTCAAAGCGTGAAGAATGGCTGAAGTGCAGAGCATCTGCTCTGTTCTGCATCATCTTATAATTGATTAGAAATAATGGCTGTTAGCCATGAAACCCATTTTCTCAGCATATTGAAATAAATCACTACTTAGAGGGGAGGGAAACAGCAACACGTGCTGTTACCTTCTTTGAAGAGCCTTTGAGCAAGTCCTATTTTTTAACACTGATTCATCTGCAGTCAATTTTTTCATGTCTCCTGCCCTCCCTGGGAAGCATTTTTTATTTTATAAGGAGCGCTGCCCCCTCCTGCCTGTTACTTCTTTCCAAGTGGTGGAAATGCAGCAGGTTTTCCTTAAAAATAAGGTATCTCATAAACCTAAAAAAGAAATTAAAAGATAATAAATTAAATTAAATTGTGAATTATTTCCAATTAGAATCATCTATTAAGTTAGGAACCCAAAGGAGAACTGCTTGCTGACCTATTCAAACTTCCTCTGCAATATATTTAATTTCAAAAGCAATATTAATGATGAGCTTCTGAATAAGGTGCATTGTTAGAGGGGAAGTAGCCCTCCATCACCTTGCAGGTGGGGTTCCTGCCCTTTTACCTTCCCTTCTCAGTCATACTGCCAGAACAAAGTTAGTCAAAAGCTGAAAAATATTCCAGCTATTTCTAATTGACAACTGATGAGAGTAATTATTATTTTTAGTCAGCATTGAGGGTTTTACAATCCTCAGGCTTCCGCCTTCCCAAAAATCCCCCTCCATGAAGAATCTGGCATGTCTAAGACAACATATGGGTCGAGGGAGGAAGGTAAGACACAGAGCAACAGAGAAGACTGTAGACAAGGGAAGAGCTCCTGGTAACCAGATTAGTGTGTTTAAAATCAATACAAAAAGGCTGCTGCAATTCCCCGTGGCATCCTTCCAAGAGCTGTGTCCCACTGGTAATGTTTCAGAAACAGACGTTGCAGTTTCTGTTGAGATAAAGTCAGGGAACACAGTATGGTAGCTGGAGAAAGGAGAGAATGACAAATTCCTCTTCCAGCTCTGCGTTGGAGCATGAGACCCAGCTCCACTGCCTCACTTCACTCCATCTGTTGTTGCGTTTCTTGTACAGTAGCTGAAATCTGAGATAGAGGGTCAGTGATGGGCTAAAAAAACCTTGCTGCCTCGTTAGTCGGGAGGGTGCGGTAGCTGGTCTGCTCACAAATAACTTTTGCCTTGTCATTTTGCAGATATCTCGAATGGAGTACGTGCATTCGAAGAACCTCATCTACCGAGATGTCAAGCCAGAAAACTTCCTTATTGGCCGGCAAGGCAATAAGAAAGAGCACGTCATTCACATCATAGACTTTGGATTGGCAAAGGAGTACATTGACCCGGAAACCAAAAAACACATACCTTACAGGGAACACAAGAGCTTAACTGGAACAGCGAGATACATGTCCATCAACACTCATCTTGGCAAAGGTCTGTGTGGTTGGTGGGAGCTTGCTGTGCCAAGTCTTGTAGACCTCTGATGGTAGCTTGGCTTACAGCTCTCTTGTGCCCTTTGAGCTATTTGTAAACCTCTCAATGCTGTGATGCTGTTTACAGTTGTGAGGTGCCTTTTTTTTCCCCTTTTGAGGAACTGAGACAGCTGAAATGTTGGAAGCCTCATAATTATAGATTTATTAAGAACTAAATAACTGGTAGCAGCCCTGCACTGATAAAAGGCAGGTAGGCAGGTAGTAATTGCCATACTAAATGATGACCAAATAGATTTTCATAGTAGAGCTCTGTACTGGTACCTTCCAGTTTCAGGTTGGATGTTCCGTGACCTAATAATTGGTTGGAGAAAATTAATGATTTAACTAATTTCAAACCTGGCTTTCATCTCCTCTCCTCACTGCCTTCTTTCATACCAGAAGATTACATTTCTGTGGCTGAAAGGAAAAAAAACCTTATCAAATGTTTATATTCACTTAAACTCGTAAGAGCCGTAAGATAATGGAATATTATTTGAGTAGCCTCCCAGCTATGAGATCAAGGTGTCGCTGGCTTTTGTGTCTCCTGGAAAGCTTGCTCTCTTTGGGGAGTAATGAGGGATGAACCCAACTTCTAAATTTGGAAAATCTGGTGAAGAGCCAGGAAGGGATGGAGGAATGAGAAGGCGCAGTGGGAGCACACTTGGGAACTGCTGGTGCTGGGGATGTGCTCTGCAGGTGGATGCAGAAAGAAGATCTGCTTGTGCTTGAAGTATACCACGTGCCTTCTTTCGGACCCTTTTCCCTGCAGATTTTGCAGCTCACACCATGGCTCACACAGGGGAAGAATCAGTTCTGGGCAGGTGTGTTTGAGGAGGGGAAGGTTGGCTACCAGCTCTGCAGGGGCCCGTCTCTGCCCACAGGGGTTCCATGCGACTGAGGCTTTGCTTCTGAGGCCAGCCCAGGTGGAGTAGGTCGCTTCACGTTTCAGCACTGAACAAAATAAAGGAGTCTGATAGCGATTTTTTTGAAAGACAAGTGCACTCAACCATCTTCCTGAGAAGTTCATCTGCATCGTTGCACTAAATTACCCAGGACATCCTTTTATTTCCTTTTTATACCTGTATCAGGGTAACCTACAGGAACTGTCGTCTCAGTTCCCTTCTGCTGAGTGTTCTCACCCCCAGCATCTTCTGAGGGTTAAACTTGCTGCTGCTTTTGAAGGATAGTCATGCTGGGCAAAGCACTACCTTTTTCTCCTCTTGCAGATGATGCAGCATCAGGGACAGCTCATGTGCAGTTTGTCATGGCATGTGGGATGCATGACTAGATGCGTTCCAGATTGCGGCTTTGGAGCACATTATCTGCCTGCCAGTGGAGATTTGGAGGAGGGGAGGGTGCATCAATGAACCCAAGTCTGCATGATGCAGCCTGGCACAGTGGCAGTCCCATGCTGTTGCGCTCCAGATTTGTTGTTCTGTCTTGTATCCTCCCTTGAGCTTTTTGATACATTTTGGTAGATTATTTTAAGGATGCTTTTTCCTTTGGCTTGAGGCCCTCTTTTTCCCCTGCTCATTTATAACCATAACATCTGCATGGCAACAGCAGCAAGTGTTTCACAAGGAAAAGTGGTGCTAGATGGAGCTATTTTTTATCTGCTCTGATGTGACGAGCTGCAGAAACAACTGGGAAAGGTTTGGCACTGTGCAACATGGTAGTTCCCTGCAGCTGGTTGCAAGCGTCCCCTGCCTGTTCCTGTATAGTTCAGAGGAAATAACATAATCCAGCACCACATCGCAGTTGCACCATTGGCGCTGGCAGTCCAGAGAAGAACTGGGGAACTGCTTTATTCCTCTGCAATTAATATCTTCAGCTCTTACCCATTCTACCTAAGGCTGTGCAGTACATCTTACAGCTCCTGTGTTATCTCATGCCTTCTAGCTGATCTGCTCTTTACGTATTTTATGGTTTTTTGTAGCAGGTTCTAGGTATTTTTGCACAAGTTCTGAGCTTCAGACAGCAAGTGGACTTCCCTGGAATAACTTTATCTCAGAAATACATGTAGCTACTGATCAGATCTCAGATCCATTTCCACAGCTGCAGCAATAATTTGTCATCTCCTCTGTTCTAGAGCAAAGTCGTCGAGACGACTTGGAAGCCCTCGGCCATATGTTCATGTATTTCCTCCGAGGCAGTCTGCCCTGGCAGGGACTGAAGGTAGGTTTGAGTTTTAGGTTCTGCCCTTTGAAACTTTGGCCTGAATAAGAATCTGATGAGGAAACATTTGCAATATCCAACCAGAAATGCTGTCCTGTCCTTTGTGTCCCTGAAGTCTAATGACAAGGCATTAGCTTTACCTACAAGAAAGATTTTAAGATAGAAATATGTTACCTGCCACTTCAAGTTACCATTAGCTTAGCTGAATTGGTACAGCTCTGGAGAGAAGATTCAGCAGAGGCAGATGAGCAGCTGGGACAGGGACAGCAATGAGAAAACCATCAAGCTATAGGAGCAGCTTTGCTGTAATGTGAAGCTGCCCTGAGCTGGAGTGCGACTGGGACGCAGTGGCTGTTTATGAAACTCCAGTTGCAGCACACAATCCCCCAGCTGCATCTGTGAAATGTGTTTATAACGGGAACAATTTGATGGTTTTAGACGTGCAGGTGGACTTCAGCTTGAAAAACTGGTTTTCTGGCAGAAGTATTGAGCTTGGCTTCCCTCCAGAGACACTGGACACTCAGTGCTTAGAAGTTTATGAAATGTCATGTACAATGTGGAGGGCTGCAAACAATTCAGTTACAGCAACTGCAGCTAACATCCATCAGCTGAATTAACTAGTAGTACTTTATTTGCTGGCTGTGAAGCTCTTGGTAGTTGCACCTTCACTTCTCCATCACTTTCCTGATCATTAAGCTACTGTGTTCAACTTTGGAATTGTAGTGAGTGAAGAGATGGAATTTGCTCAGGTTAGGAGAAGGTTTATTAATGAAGACAATAACTCCTGTTAGACCTATTAGTACTGTTGGAAAAAGGAGACAAGCTTTTGGGCTCACCAGCTGCTCAGCAGTGCTGCTATGGTCAGTGGCAGTGGCTTGCATGATAGACCTTGTTAAGCTGCTTTGTCACCGTCTATCCAGAGTTAGTCTCAGCTTAGCCTTATCAGACATGTGCTAGAAACATCGACAACTCATAAAAGCAAAGAAAGGGTTTTTCAAGCATGAAAGTGATTCTGAAAGAAATCAGAATCTCTCCAACTTTAAGTTCACACCTCTGTGTGTGTTATTGCATTACATATTTTGTTTCTGGCTTAGTTGTACCCATCTGCTTTAAACTGATCCTGTAAATTGTTCAAAAATTATTCCAGGTTTAGACAAGACTCTACAAAATTTCCTCCATTCAGTGCTGAACTTGATAAGAATTAGTTGACTGCTTCTTGAAGTCCTATATTTTTTCAGCTCCAGAACAAACACAGACTCTTCAGCTTCATCTACAATATGGCATCTTTACTAGGTTTCCTCAGCTTACGCTTTTGGCCTCTGTTGTTGGAGCTAGTCTTGAGAGAACATCTTATGGTGCTAATTATGCTGCAGGTCTAATTGGCATATTTTGGAATGGAGGCAATAAAACCTATTCTTAGGGTGCTGACTGGAGCAGAGTTCTCTGCTTCAAGAGGGATTTAGGTGGGAAATCTAAGTGCAAATTGTTTCATTTTCTTGATGACCAGCTATTTAATCAGTGCTAAGTGATAGACACTTTGGGGGTAAAAGGAGAGGTAGTGTGGGAGTAGCATGGGATTTGGGAGAAGTGTGACTGATGTAAACTGGGTATCTATGTGGTGTCATTCTATTATACACACTAAAAACCTGATGTGCCCAAATTGCCATTGCAATTTATCTACTTTTAAAGTTGTTTATGGAGGTGTTGAGGTTGCCACTGGCTCTAAGCCTAGGACTGATGTGCAGTCATAGTATATGCGGCTTTATTTTCTTGTCCCATGAAAGCTTCCCTATACAGTCCTCGGGACTGGGCTGGTAAGCAATTAGCCTTGTAAGACACTAACAAGTGTCCTTCCTTACAAGTACTGAAGATGTTTTGAATGTGTCCTTGGATATTCTTTGCCAATAGCACGTAAAATGAATAGCGAGAATTACATTATATTCTTCCCATACAACATGTCGTTTATCACATGGTTGAATTTCTGCACAACTGTTTTGTCTTTGTGCACTACAGGCTGACACCTTAAAAGAGAGGTATCAGAAGATTGGGGACACAAAGAGAAACACTCCGGTTGAAGTTCTCTGTGAGAACTTTCCAGGTAAAGCCCTGATGGGACCATTTGAGTGCAGCTGGAGGTGGACATACCCTGTTAAATATGACAGTTCTGAGTTCCTCTGGCAGAAAGTATGTGGATGATGTGTATCCATTATGTTGTTTCTCAAGCTAGGAGACAACTGGAGCTGCTGCTATAAATTAGCAGGGCCTGAGGGCTTGTGGCTGTGGCTTAAAATGAGCGTAACTCTACTCATCAAGGAGGCTGGACAATGCTCAAGTGCCACGTATTTCTGCTTTGCTTCTTGGCTTTCTTCCAAAAGAGGGCCTTGTTATTTTCCCTCTCTCAAGTGACCACGTTGGATCTACTGAGTTAATTCTTCTCCAAATGGAAGGTTTTATAGGTGTTAAAATTGTAGGTGGCCAGCTTAGAAGGTGGGATGATGTGTCTGTCCTTGAGTTCAACCTTTTGACAGCAGTTTTAAGAAGAGTGTTAATAAAGATGTGCTTCTAGCCAAGCCCAACACTTTTGCTGCAGTTAAACAAAAGTCCACCTTGGAGGTAGGAAAGCAGAGTACAAAGTTAAAGCCCTCCCCAGGTACCCCATGGCCTTCACAGAGTGGGGGGTTTTTTGGTGTTTTTCGAAATTCTGACACCAGGGAGAGTACCCAGGTCCCCACAATCAGCCCTATTCCTGTAGGAGCCGTTGTGTCACATGGCTCTTTCCCAGTGTGAGGAGTAGCAAGTCTGGAAGGGGATCATTGTTCACTCAAGTCATGCTAATTCCCCAGATGTATTTGCACCCAAAATCCACCCAGTTCCAAGCAGAACAGCTTCAGTTTGGCTGTTCTCATCTTTTTCCCCAATACTCCTTCCTCAGAGCTCGGTCATACCTGCAGGTCTGGGCTGAAGGGAGATGAGAGAACTTATTTCTATCCCTTGCTCGCCTGAAACCTATTGGTCCTCCACCTTTTAGAAATACTAGCAGGAAGAGGGGATCACCTATCTTCTCCTTTTTTTCCTCTTTTTCCTCCATGTGACATGCAAGCTGCAAGCCACAGACAGAGTTAAGTATCGATAAGCAATGCTGTTCTTATTTTTGTTAGCTAAAGACAAAACCCATGCTGGTCTATCAGTCGTCCTGCAGTGCACAGACTCGCACTTCATACTGAGCTCTGCTCAAACGTCCTACCTTGGTTTAGGCATGAGCCAAGGGAGAGCTGGGAAGGTGCAGGGCATAAGTTACTAGGGCTCAGTTCTCTATGCATGCAAAGTACAACCCAGATGCAGGAAAGCAATTAATTAGCTTAACACCAAACTCTGTTCTGTGTGCACCAGGTAAATTAACATTGGAGCCTCCCCTTCGAAGTCTTGTTCTGAATATTTAAGGCTATGACTGATGTAATGATGCTAGGCAGCACAGTGCTCTGGGCAGTCAGACCCTAGTTGTTGCTGGAGCTCAGGGGTGCCACAGGGTGCCCACCAACATCTCCTGATTTCCTTCCCCAGATGAAATTGCTGTGGCTATTTTAAACATCTGTATGAGCAGACATACACATGAGCATCCTGTTGGCAGGTTCAGTGAGTTGGCAATTATTGTGCAGTGTGTTTTAATGTTTGTTTTTATACAAATGTATAGAATAAAACTAGCTGTGGAACTCAGATTTGAGGTGGAGCAGCAGCTCTCTGGAGCAGAGGTGGGACTTCTGTCTTTGCTTGAGAAGTGTTTGAATTGATTTGCATTGTGGACTATTACTAAAAAAACACTACTTTTATAGGAAGAGCCAGAGGTAGCACTGGCAGCCAAGACAATTCTCTCACAGTATGATGCTCAATGCTAAAACACAGACCTTGGCTTATAACAACTCATTCAGAAGATTCAGAATAAAAGCAGACTGTTATTAGACTTTGGGCCTGGCAGGAGAGCTCTGGAAAGCTGAGTGAGATTCATCTAGCAATAAAAGACTGTTGAATAGGTCACTGAGGGTGAAGACTTGTTGGATATCCTCAGCTTCTGTCAATCCGTACGGCTCAGCTGAACTTAGTGGAGCCTGGACAACTCGCGTCACTGGTGATCTGGCCCTCAGCCCAACTTTAAGCACCAACTTTGAGCCTAGTGCCATGGGAAAGCCTCTTTGGAGTTAATTGAAAAACATATTTCCAGTGTGTGTGTCGGCTCTGAGAGGCTTCTAAGTCATGGAGCTCATGTGTGAGCAGAACTGACACCGCTGCTTTTTTCCCCTTTTCCAACAGAGGAGATGGCCACGTACCTGCGTTATGTTCGGCGATTAGACTTCTTTGAGAGACCAGACTACGATTATTTACGAACCATCTTCACAGAGCTGTTTGAGAAGAAAGGCTACACCTTTGACTACGCCTATGACTGGGTTGGCAGGCCAATTGTAAGTTATCTCTGCACAATGTAGTGCCTTGCCTTCCAGGTGCTGCTTCCCTGCCACCTGTCTCTTTGTTCCTGATAATCCCCATTAATGCCAGTGAGCTTAGGATCAAATCTTTCACTTCTGTGCTCTAGCTAACATGGGATCAACATAGTGAGATGTCCTGAAGTTGTGTTCAGAGGGTTCCTGCAGTGTCTTGAAGTTTCCCAAAGGAGCAGAAGGCCCCTTCCCACCTCCCTGGGCTTGCCCTGGTTGGGCATTCAAACCTGATTTTCCCACTTGTGGCAATGAACATGACTAGACTTAATTTCCTCTAGTCTAGCACAGGATTTGAGACCAATATGTAAAGACATCCATCTTAAAGCAGGAGAGCATACTTGCTACCTCAGCACTAAATGGTAGAAGACCTTTATAATGGTTGAGTTCTCATCGAGACATACGGGAGATCTAGGCAGGGCTCTGATGGATGCTCAGTGAATAGTAACAGCAAACCAGTTCTGAGCTCAAAGGATCTTGGGGTTTACCCTACTCCAGAAGCTGAACCTACAGCTCTTTGTAGCATGTGGCAAGGAAATGTGGGAGTAACCAAGCTCCATGTAGCGGTTCCACGACACCAGATGGACCAGAATCATGATCTCATTGTGTTGCTTCTATTGTCAAAAGCCACTTATACTCAAGAAGACCTTGACCAAAAGAGGTGTCATGGGGAAATCTGATAGAAAAGTCTAAAGCTCTTCCGCTGGCTGCGTGTTGCTTGTGTTTTGTATCATTCTGCTGATAGCCTTCTTGCTAATGGCCAGTCACGACACACCAGCAATGGCAAAGGCATCTGTAAATTAATTGTCACTATTGCCAGATCAAATGCCTTCAGTGCTAAACTTGGTACTGTTGCCAGAGATTTACCATCCCAACTATATGTAGCATTATCAATGTTTACTGTGCCCAAACCAGTTCATCTTCATAAGAAATCATTCCCTTTGTGAATCATAATTTCTCTCCTAATCTGTTTAATTACAAAGGCAGTTGATAAAAAGTGCCTTGTAAGACAAGCATGCTATTGCTGACAACTGCAGTAGTTGCTATGGAGATTTTGATGTTGTGAGCAGGGATTATGACTTTGGTGAGAATTGAGCAGATGAAGCTTTAATTTTAACACATCCTGTTTCTATGCAAGGCTAATTTTTAAAAGTGGCAAGGCGATGAGATGAGGAAAATAAGTCTGTGTATTTTCAGTTGTAATAATCCTATGTGAGACGCATTAGGTGTGATCTGACACTGAAACAGATACCTAAGTATACCTTTTTAATTAATTTTTATACAAGACATTTGGTGCTGGTGTCCAGCATCAAATCACAGGGATTTTATAGCCCTAGCTGTAATTTTCCTTGGATGTTGTCAGTATCTTTGGGCAGCGTTTTGATGTTTTCCTGCTTCTACCTGATGGGAGCCAGCCTGACAAGTTAGGTTTGTGCATGCATGTGTTGAGAGAGAGAGAGGCATCTTCAGCACTGGCTTCATCCTAACAGATGCCTTGTTTTCCAGCCTACTCCAGTGGGATCTGTTCACGTAGATTCTGGGACATCCGCAGTAACAAGAGACAGCCATGCCCATAGGGATCGACCATCACAGCAGGCCCTTCGCAATCAGGTGAGTTGCTCACAACGGCTTCGGCAGTGCCATGTTGTTCATCACCTCCCTGAATTCCTCTTGGACCAGAGAAGCAGAGACCATATGCCATTAGAGGTGGCTGGGGCTGATTCTCACCTTGGTCATGGCAAGCACAATTCCTGTTTAATTTGGAGATTGTGATTTGAGCAGAATTTTGTCAAAGCAACAGGTTGCTGAAATACTGTATCAGCCAGTGGAATTCCTTGGGATCGTGAACCAAGTGGAGTACAATTTGGAATGAGTCATTTTTCTGTAGTTTGTGGGTAAGCTGTTTAACTCAACTATCCAGCCTGGTCAGACTATCTGACCTACCTGGCCAACCATGTTCTTTTGGGTGCTTTTACACATAACATGTGGACTGTGGAGTAGACCAACAGTTGGTCTGTTGGTAGCCTGCCCCCAGGTGCCCTCTTCCCATGGACCGTGCAGCTGCAAAAAGGATGTGCTTGTCCCGTGTACGTGCAATATATACTTCTCAGGGTGTCCAGTTCACAGCATGAGTATTGCAGAACATAAAGGTCTGCCAGGGTAGGGTTCCCTGGGGAGGCTGGGCATCATGGTCCAGATGAACTGCCAGTTTTCTAATTTGAATTTCCACATTTTTTCCTTTCTAGTTGTAATATTTTGTTGGTGTTTAGAGTTTGGATTTTCTGTATTAACAGAACTGATCAGAAGTTCAGTAGATCTCCAACTGCCGGCTGCTAGCTAGAGCTGTTGGTGCTCTTACATCCCAGTGAGTGGTTCTGGGCTTGCTCTGCTCCTCTAACCACTGTGTGCTGTTCTAGCTCCTTGTCTGCCATCTGTGCTCCCACTCAGCTCGCATGAGCTGGGGTTCATGGGTGCAGAATCGAGTGTGAGATGTAATAACCTGTCTGGGCTCAGCTTTCCTTGTTCCATGCAGCTGGGCTTTGAATGGTAGAGCCGCTAATGCAGACTAGAATACATCTAAAGCCATCAGCTACAATCAGGATGAATACCCCTCATTAGAAATGTTGCTTGTAGGAAGCTGGAATGTTTGAAGCACATGTGCAGTACTGTATTTATGCATGCTGATCAGTGTGGACTGGTTTGTGAGTACTAGTAAAATAATCTGCTTTAATAAATTGCCTGATTAATGCATTAACCCCCCTTTTTTGGGTGGCAGTCCCTGTTGTCCACTTTGGCAACAGACCTTCATGCTGTGTATGTATGAGGTATCTTGTTTCCTTTAATGGACAATGATGCCTGGCTTCATTTTCAAGCATGTTAGTTCATAAAATATAGTATGGAACCCAAAGAAAGCTGTCCTATTCACAAAATGTTATGCAAGCAGCCTTCAGTCCTTGTTCTTCTGAGCCTATCAAATAGTCTTGCATGTATTGCATGGCAGCTTTTGTCTTTTTTTTTAACCTAACCATTACTTAGGATGCTGAATAATTTAATATTCCCAATATGCAGGGAAAATCAGTTTCTTCTTGCTAAAACATAAGCAACTCTCTTCCAAGGGATGTTCCTTTTAAGTGTTGAGCAAACAATTTCTCGAAAGAAAAAAGTAGGGGAAAAAAATGGTGTAGAGCAGTGAATTGGAGGCATGGGTTTGGGTCAAGTGACTGCCTTGATCCCCAGATTTAATTACCTTATTTTCATTCCCGGGTATAATCACTGCATATTCTCTTTTATAATAGTTTGTTTCCCAGTAAAGACACTGAGGAGAGAGTGATCTTCTTGTAGCCTTTTCCTCTAGGAAGTGCAGATGCTTACTATCTATCAAAGATGGGTGAGCCCTGCCCCCTGTCTTTAGGTGCCAGTCTTGTCTTGCAATTTGGTAGCTGGTAGGAAGGTGATGAGTGTTAATGGGAACTTGATGCTCTCAGATTTGACAGGCATCACTTCCTCAGTGTCACTGCTTGGGTTGCGTTTTGGGCAGCTCAGCTCAAACCTACTTCAGAACCAGTTTATCATGTACTTGGCTGTAGAGCTAAAAAGAGAAAAATCTGGCTCTTGTGGCTTCTAGAGCCTTTCCTAGAAGCTGCTTCCAGGTTCCTAGACAGAAGGGTGCTTCTTCTAATATTGATGTAGCATGGTACTACTTCATCGCCTGGGCTAGCCAAGTGACCTGATGGCATAGTGCTTTGGAAGAAGCAGCAGTCAAGATCTGTCTTCTACTAGCTTTTAAAACCTGCATTTAAATTCTCCAGTTGTTCATAAAATTGTGACTTGCAGCCATTACAAAATATTCCAAGGAAAGTGCTTCTCCTTTGAATGTCACCAAGTATAAAAAGCGTAAGCAGCATCTCAGGCTGATGGGAAGAACATGTAATAAGAAGATTCAATAGGACAAGCCTGGACAAGACCACCTCTAAGGAAATAGTACCTATGAACTGGATTCAGTGCCTGCTTGGAAGGAGGAGCAGCACTGTGGGTCACTCCGAGAGGGAGTCAGAGGTCATGTGCAAAGGGAACAATAGCAAATGTTTTCTAAAATGCTAGGAGGCTTTTTTTTTTTTTTTGCTTCCCTTTGCACGTGCTCCTGTTCTAGCTGAGTGACAATTTACTAGTTAGTGTTGAAGTTTATTCAGAGATTTCCGGAGCCTCTCCTGTATGGAACTGCTTGCGGTCTTTTTTGTCCTTTTTTTTTTTTTTTTTTTTTTTACAGTGGCACTGAGCGTTGTGGCTTCTCTCTTGCTCAGACCAGGGATTGGGCTAATCACCCATGGCTGCAGGGAGTAACACAAAGTAGTGCTGAGGAAAGGCAGGGCCTGCGCACCTCTCTTTGATTAGGTCCTTCAGCTTCACTGCTGATAACCTGGTGGTTATTTGCTTGAGCCTCTTGTTTCCTGGACAGGTCCATGGAGTCTGTGTTCAGCATCCCTCCTGCCACGTGTGTGTGGGGACACTCTTCTGCTCTGCCCTCTCTTCTTTCAGATTTGTGCTTCAGCTTTGAAACATTTGCTTAATTTTTTTATACAGCATCCGAGGAGACACCTTTTAAATGTGTCCTGTCAGTCACTTCAGGCGTGACTACATCCTCTGCTGGTGGCCTGTGAACAACTCAGATCTACCTGTTTGTCCTATGCTTCCCAGTCTTAGGAAGTGTTCCTCCAGCTGGTCAGTTGGATTTAAGTGCACTGAGATCCTCCTGGGTCTTAGGTGAACGCTGGATGTGTTGTCATCAAAGCTGGGTGACCTGTGAGGAGCTTCACATGCAAGTGCAAAGTGGTTCTTCTAATAAAACAAATAAAATTCTAATAATTTAATTGTCTAAAGTTTGCATCTGTTGGGGATGAAGAAGAAACTGTTAGCGAAAGTTTCTTATCTACTTTTCTGCAGAAAACCAAAAAACCACCAATCCTCTCTCCAGTCAAGCAGGTGTGGTGGGTGTTCCTTTCTGCATTGTGCAGGTGAATTGGTGTGTGGAACTGGCTTTTGGTGAAATAAAACATGTCTTTGTTTTATGTTGCAAATTTGAGTTAAAAAATATGTATTTTAGGGAGGTCAAGCTTGTGTATCCAATCTTGCTGCCATGCCAAGTGCTCTGGTGTGTGTGACTTGACAGACGTAGTTAAACATACTGTCAGTGTGTTTATTTCTGTGCTGAAACCCACGGAAATGAAGCCGTGTAAAGAAATAACTTCCTGAATAGCTCTGAGCTTTCTCTTCATTTAGCAGCTAGAGAAGAAGAAATCCACTCCTGCAGTAGATTACTGCAGACACTGCTGACGTATGAGGTGCACCTGCTAAAGAGAAATTTTAGCCCAGCTAAAAGTTTAAGTTCCTTGCTTTTTGCAAAGAAACTAACTCACTAACAAACACCATTTTATTTCTTCCACTCATTCACCTTTTGCCCTCTCTTCTGTTTCTCTCATGCTTCTGAACTTGTGAGCAGGTGTCATCAGATCGCCGAGGGGAGTGGGAGATCCAGCCAAGCCGGCAGACAAATACCTCGTACTTGACATCTCATTTGGCTGCAGATCGGCATGGAGGATCAGTACAGGTACCTCTTCCTCCTGATGTGTATGGCCTTGATGCAAGAATTTGTGTTAAAACCCCTGAATTCTCCTCAAACTGCAGTAACATCATGGTCAGGAGAGGATTTCACAGGTCAATTTGGTCCTGTCCTGTATGTAATACTCAAGCTGTGGTTTTGTGGGACCCAAGCTGTGATGGCCAATATAGTTGCTGTTGCCATTTCAATGAAGATTTTCCTCTGACAGCTATTTTGAACTCAGATTTGTCAAACTGAACACAGAAAGGAGTGTATATTAGCAGGTTTGGTCTATAAAGCACCTCTCTATCCCCATCTTGGGGGTGCTCTTAGGTAGTAAGAAGCAGCTGAAATAGGGTTTGTTGCATATAAACCCCACAAATGTTAGGAAAGTACTTGAGCTGTTCCAGTTCAGGCTTGATAGGCGAGGTTCTGGTTGAATTCCCACTGCCTAATGGAAATCTAGGGGTTTCAGACTTGAGAAATGCACAGGGGATGGCTGATGTGAGGAGGCTGTATAGCCACTTCTCCCTCCGGATGGAGGGGAGACAGGCTGAACTATTGCTGCAGTTGCGGGGTGTGGTGACCCTGTTCTCTTGCTCCCCAGTGCATGTGGATTTTAGTTTTGGATGCAGTGACAGACCAGCACAAGTGTAAGGGCATGGTGGCTGCAGGTTGGATCTCTGGGTGATTGCACTGTGGAAGGTAGATGAGCAGAGGATGTGCAACAGTGCCAGACAGCATTAAAGGTGGCACTACAGCTAAGTTTTTAAACTCCTGAAAAGGCCACTTCTGTTTATGAAACCGTACCTGCCTCTGGTTGTCACTCAGGCTCACTAAGGGAGTTTCTTGCAGTACTGCCAGAGTAAGATGGCTGGACATGCTAGAGAGAAGATGCAAGAGTCATTCAAGCAAACAAGAACTGTCTAATATTGCTGGTGAGGTGAACTCTTTGGCAGAGCTTTGCCTGTGAGAGCTGGCTCTGGTGCCAGACACAACACTTTGAAAATTGGCTCTGGTGAAATGGGAATTAGTGCCTGGAGTGGGACAGAGCTGATCTGAGGAGTCGGGAAGTGCAGGGTGCCCCTAAGTGAAATGCAGATTAGGTTGAAATTTTTCCTTATTCCTGATACTTGGTTGGATTCAATGATTTTTTAGCTTAATTACCCACGTTCCTTTTTGCATTTACAGATATTTTTCTGAGTAGCAGAGAAATTGAAAGATAAGGAGGAACTAATGTATGTAGAGCTTTGATCTCAGATGTGAGCAGACAGTAAATTGGAGAAGTGTTCAAGGTCAGGTTGGACAGGGTTTTGAGCAACCTGATCTAGTGAAAGATGTCCCTGCCCACTGCAGGGGTGTTGGACTAGATGACTTGTAAAGGTCCTTTCCAACCCAAACCATTCTGTGATTCTATGAATTCAGCACTTGGTGACTACAGAGAAGGTGTTTTTATTCAATTTTTTTTACGTAAGGGGAATAGTTTCCTTGCGCAAAGGCAGCATGAGCTGTCTCCCCATGAACAGTGGTCTGCCAGAGTAGCTACAGCAATAAGGCAGTCCTAGTCTGAATTTGACTGGGAGCATTGCCTACCTGAGCAGTTTACAAGCCTGTATGTGTCACTGTAAGCATTAAAATTCTGCTTATCTGCAGCCAAGAACAGGAAATCTTCTGCTGTGCATGGCTGCTGGGTTGCAGATGCTTAAATTCTTTCTCAACAGATGTACCAGCTCATACTGAACCCTTGGGAGGTCAGTAACTTCAAGCAGCTGTTTCCTTTAAGGCAACGGTTGAATTTGCCACATCAGAATGAAGTGGCAGCATGTGAAAAAAGAGGAAGAAAATCAAAGCCTTTTGTAAAATGAAATTTAACAAGTAGCTGGAGAAAGTGTGGGAAGATCACTGGGAATAGTATGATTAAGTGCTAGCTTTTTACGAAGTGTGGGAAGTGTGAGGGTCTGGAGATCCTGGGTGGGCCTACAGTGTGGTGAGTCTGAGAAGGTGGGTGTGAAGAGAACCCAAGGGGTTGTCACTTGAGGAGAGCTCTGAAAACCACATGAGCCGAGTCCTGACCTGTCTTGGCAAAGACTGGCCATGGTACCTGAGCTGCAGAAACAGCAGTTGCTGGTAGAACTTAAGTATTCAAAATGTACATAAATAGATCCGCTTAATAGTGAGGGGACGTCTGCTTCAATGGCTTCCTTCCCTTCACGTCTGGTGGTTAGGTCACCCAGAGCCACCAGGAATACTGTGTAGCACCCTGACCCCCCCATGGGAGATACATCCTTTTACCTTGTAGAAAGGTGAAGAGGTGGAGCGGGAGGGGAACCACACATCATTACAGCTCTGGACCCAGGAAGCAGCTCCAGGTGTTCACAGCAACATGCAGGAGCCTGACCTAACTTCTAGGTGGAGTGCGGAAGGGCCAGCCAAACTTCGGTCCCATACAGGTTTCTTTGGCGGCTGTTGTGGCAATGGAGCAATGATGAATTATCCAGAAAATTATGTGCTCTCCTGGCAAATGCAGAGATGCTGGCAGCTGGGATCTGGATGGTCATCCCTATAATGGAAATGCTGAAGTAAACCATAATGTCAGCTGTGAAGCAAAAAGAGATGAGAGACCATATCAATAGTTTTTGGGTGAGGATGTAATTCCAGAAACTGGCTGTGTAAGGAGTGAGACTGGTGGCTCTGAAGTGACTTCTTCCCACAGTACTGGCAGGCAACAGGACTGAGTCGCTCGCCTGTAAAAGTGTCAGGAGAAAACAATCAACATAATAAAGTTTGTGTGTGTATATAGGCTGTCAGTGAGTCTTCACACTAGTGGCCACGCCTCCCAAAGTGGCGTAGTCTCCCAAAGGCCAGCACAAGACCTGTGCTGGGCACAGGAGTGTGAATTAGTGAACACAGACACAGTCCCCTGCCTGCTGTTCTGCTTGGGATGAACCAGCTAGTCTCTCCAAACCAGGCATGTGATTCAAAGGCATCCAAGGAATCTGACAGCCTGCTAAGAGGGTACAAAGAGACAGGAGCAAACTGAAGTCATTCCGCAGGTTTCCCATTCCCACAGCATCCCTTGTCCAGGTGGGTGGAGACATATCATGTGCAAGGGGGCTTCGTTAACAGGGCATTCATTTGTGTTTCAGGTGGTTAGCTCGACCAATGGGGAGCTGAACGTGGACGACCCGACGGGAGCACACTCCAACGCGCCAATAACAGCGCAGGCAGAGGTGGAGGTGGTGGAAGAAGCTAAGTACGTTTGTTTTACAAACAGGCTTTCCACTGGTGTGGTCATTATCCTCCTCCTGGGAAACAAGTGGGGATGTTTAGCTGTGGTGAAGTACTCAGTGCTCGTGTCCCATGCCCTTTTCCTTGCATATTGCTGCTTTTGTGCATGGTGCCTTCAGTGCTGCTGCTGCTGCTGCTTCGTTTTTTACACTTGTCATGGCTGGAGAACGTAACTCTTACTCAGAGCATGTATTGCAAGATAGACAGTAGCACAAATACCAAAATAATGTGAATTGATATCAGGAATCCCAGTGAGTGTCCCCTGTTCCAAAAGGAGAACGCACTGTACTCTGATGCTGAGAGTGTAGGAGTAGCTTGAGCACAGCTCAGTGAAGAGATTGTTGGTCTGAAAGTTAACACTTTATTTCTGGCTGCAAGAAGTGGATGCCAGGTATCCAGAACGGTCCTAAAGTAACTCTTGCAGGGACAGGTAGTTCTCTCTGTGAACTCTCTTGGTCCAGCCCAACAGAAGCCAACTGAGAGAAACCAGAAGCAGCCCTGCTGCTTGTGGGGAGGAGCGTGATCCCTCTGAGCTGACCTCTCCTCTGTAGCTTGTGGTCAAGAGTGAGAACCGATCGATGTACAAAGTTGCTGCTTCGACCATTTTGGCCTCCTTTGCACACATGCTGCGTCTGGTACCATCATGTCACCTTTTGCATGATCCTCAACATGGGACCTTCTTGCTGCCTCTGAACTAGACCCTAGCAGGTCGCAGTGTAATCCTGACACTCCCCATGAGAGGGGTAAATAGGCTGCCTTTGAACTGGTTGGTGCTGTGACGATGCTCAACTGCCTGGTTATAATTTGACTGGATGACACTGGTGTCGCTTGTCCGACATCGTTTGTCTCAGCCTTTGTGGGAACTTCTGTTAGGAATGGCTTGTGGGAGGGTGAAGAGGAAAACTGGCAGGCATGAGAAAGGGTGTGTTGATGGCAAAGGTCCCTAAGTATGCGTCAGTCTGAAGCCAGTGCTGGTTGTCCTGAAGGTCTTCTGCTGTCTATTCCTCTGTCCCTCGGGAAGCACTTGTGCATGATCTTGCTCGCTGGTAGCTGGCCTGGGTGTGATCCTGGCAGTAACGTGCCTGAGCAACAAGATACACTTTCTCCTCCTAGCCAAAGGAGCAAGCGTTGGGTTTTGGTGTAGGTTCCTCATCAAGTACAGCGGGGTGGGGAAGATCTTGAGGTGCAATTTGCAGATTGTGCAATATTCCTATTAGATATGGGTAGTGTGGCCTGCAGAGACCACCAGTTTGGTGTCACAGGCTCTGTCTTGGTCAGACTGAAGTGGGTCCCCTCCGGGCATGTGGCTTGGGGTTGCCCCTAGGAAGGATGGGGCAAATTGCCATGCTTAACAGTTCTCGATACAACAACCCAATGCAAGGAAGAGCCAGCTTTTAAGATGGGACCACCTTCAACCTGTTTCTGCAGCGCCCTGTGCAAGGGCCGTGCTGACCAAGCCGTGTCTCGCGACACGTGGAGCTGTTCTGACTCTTGCCAGCCCTTGTTTGTGTGGTCCCAAATTGGTTTTGGAGGTGCTGGGAAGCAGAGCACAGGCTGCTTTGCACTGACAGGTTTGGGGTATCTTGTAATTCCCAAGTGTAGTCTGCTTCATTCCTCTGGCCACAGGGAGGGCTGGCTCCATCTTCCCTTGCATCTGTGATCATAAATCCTCTCACTTTTGGATTCTACTCTGTAGTAAAGTGGGCCAGAAAGAGCTAGAAGGAGCTGGAGCTGGGGCCCTGTGTTTCAAGACAAGATGCAATAGCAGAAAGGTCTTTCCCTGGCACTCCCGGCAGGCAGAGGAGCTGTGCAAATGCTTCTGCTTTGGGGTATGCTGGAGATAAGCTCCTGATCCCAGCCATGGGTTTCACTGAAGGGCAGCTCCCAGGTGTAGATCCATGATCTGGCCCCTCTGCCACTGGAGCTGCAGGGGACAAGAGCAGATTCCTCTCCTGGTGGCCCTGAGCCTGCTTCTTATCCCAGCCCCAGATAAGAACCTCTTGGGGCCAGTGCCTTCATGGAAAATAGGGGGTGTTTGTCAGAGGCCTCAAGACCCTGGAAAATGTGGCAGCTCTCAGCAGTGCCGTGGCAAGGGCAGAGGTGGTATGAGGGCTGGGGGCGGGTGGCGGGCAGGCATGGTGTGTGTCTGCCAGTCTGCACTGCATGTTTGCATGGCTGCAGTGACATGCTTTCATCCCACCTCTGTGAACTAATTGCTCTTTCTTCCTTTCTGTGTTTTTTCTCTACACTCTCTGTAGCTGCCTGAAAATGCTCAACTTGTGGTGAGTCCCTCTCTCCAGTCCACATGCAAGGGGGAGCGGACCAGACTAGACTGGGGTTGGCAAAATCAAACCAACCAAACTCTAAAATGGCACAAAGTCAAAGCCAACCCAGAGCTGTTTTGATTTTAGGACCGTGCTGAGGACCACATGCAATATTGGGGAGGGTGTGGGCTACGTCTGACCAGCCACATTAGGCTGAGCAATTTGGCTGATCTCTGAACTGATGGATCCAAAAGATGGATTTTAATCCTTTTCTATTCGGCTTACCATCTCCCCCAAACTGTTATGTCCATGAGCAGATGATGTCTAATGGAGTTGGGCAGAGTCGGGACCGGGCTTGCCGAGCGTCTTGCAGGAATTCCTCACGCAGACTGTTACGAAAGGAAAACCCTGTGCTGGGTATCGAGGGGAGAGGGCCAGTCACTTCCTTGCTGAAGAAGCACAGGCCAGGGCCTGTATCATTACAAAGGATGGAAAGATGTGGCCATGGAGTCCTTGCTGGTGACAGAGCCCCAACTAGAGCCCCTGCTTGGAGAGGGTGGGTGGGAGTTGGCTCCTTTCCAAAAACCCTGCAGCTGCCAGCTGAGGGTGCAGGTGAACTGGCTTCTCCAGGAAAGAAGGGGTGGAGGAGTTGGGATTAGCATTGGTCCAAGCCCAGCTAAGGCATATGTATGGTTTTATCAGGGTTTTGAAGCCACAGCTGTAGTGTCCTGATCTCCAGGTGGCCCATGGAGGTGTTAGCTCCCTCCCTTGCCCCTTGGGGAATCCACGTACCCAGTAAGCGGAGGATCAAGCGGAGACTCAGATAAGGAGTTTGTAGGTCCCAGGGAGGGCTGATGGGTGGGATTGCTACAGAGAGAGCTGACAAAGCCCTTGTGCAGCAAGGAATGTCCTTGTTGGATGGGAGACTGACCGCCTCTGCCCTACCCTCCATAGGCATCGCCTCCAATACCTCTGGCATCTCTGGCTTTTCTGTATGTCGTAGTCTGGGGCTGTTCTCTTGGGCATTGTCTGCATGCAGAGAGATCACGTTCTGTAATTGTCAGCCTGCCTTATTATTTTATTTTGGTGTTTTGCCTCTGCCTGTCTGAACTGCCAGGACTTCCTCTCCTGAACCCTTCCCTGGACCTCTGAGTAGCAGCCTAAAAAGACAGTCACAAGGAAAAACAACCAGAAGTCAGGCAGCTCCCTTCGTTCGGTGCCCAAGGAAATGAGTGCTGCTCAGCCCTCTTCTTCCCTTATCCACTGCATGCAAAATCATAACTCATGCATCTTCCATCCTCTCTCCCTGTAATGTCCCCTCCTTATTCACCATTGCCCAAGTCATGAAGGAAGGTGGCTGGTGTGGAAGAGAAATACTGTGACAGGTTAAAGCAGGAGAGGGTGGCAGATGGCCCAGGACAGTAAAATGCAAGACTCGTCCTGTGGGGGGAAGGTGAAGTGTCAGCCATGCACAGGAGCCTGGGTTGGGTGGTGCTTCAGACTGCACGCTGCAAACGTCAGGCCAGGTGGGTAGTGATGGAATCGTCACAGGTCACTCTAAGCCTGTGTTCCTGCAAGGACAAGTGCTTTGCGTTTTCTCTTGGCTCACCTCCAGACTGGGCCTGTTTAGGAACCTAAAGACAAATCGTGAATGTTAAACTTCCCCTAGCCATTAGTCCATGCAGGCCAGAGGAACGTGTGGTGGGAGGTGACCTCTTTGCTGTGGCTGTTTGAGCTCTCCATGTTGTGGGTGATTTCAGTCCCCCCAGCAGACAATCTGTGCTGACAGACTTGGCTCATAGGGGGGTGGTGGTCACCCATCACTTTTGCACCCCGTAGTAAGGCTCATGCATCCAGGGGCAAGCACCTTCTGAGGTGTGAGTGAGAACAAATCTGTTCCTCCAGCTCTGAGAGGATAGAATTGTAATGCTGACGTTTCAGAGCCATAAAGGACCCAATGGAAAATAATTTGGAGAAGTTGTTACAATGTTTTTGAATGCTTTGGTTTTTGAATGGCTGTTGGTAAAAGATGCTTGTAGGAAAAAATGGTCTTTGCATACTCACATCCGCTCTTGCTGCTTAGCCAGGCATCCCTTCCACCAGCCTGAAAAAGTAGTCTTTCAGCATCACCCGGGCTTCTCTGGAGATGGCTGTAACGGCAAAAGGAGAAAGACACGTAGCTCAGGAGCAGAACTCGCACAGAACAAGCACCTTTCCTCTGTGCAGAGGATTCCTGACAGTGGGCTGAGGATAAGATAGATACGCCTTAAACACCAAGTAATTCTGTAGGAAGCCAGCAGGACTAGAAAACCTGGGTGACTGCTTTCAGTGTGTCCCACAAGTGAAAACACCACTCTTCACAGTTCAGCTGCGATGGGCGTTTTTCTCCCCACCTCAGCCTCCACTATCCATCCTTCTTGCTTCCCCTAATCCCCAGGCGCTGTGTACCTCCCTTGCATTGGATGGGGGAAGAAGCAGGGGTTCTGCATATGAGCACTGAATGATTTATCCAAGGTGGAAGCTCTGGTTATCGTGAAAGGTTCAGTAAAGAAACCTGGTCCCTGAGCATAGATCTCTTTGGAACTTGTCTTTTTAGTGAACAGTGGTGAAAGCCATGTGTCTCACAGCTGGGAAGAGCAGCCAGGGCTCGCTGTTCCAGTTCACTTCCTCCGGGGTTCAGACAGAGGGAGCAGAGCATCTGGATCCTTGTTTTACTGCTTTCCCAGATGGCTCCTTGTGTTCCTGCCCCAGTTGAGCCTCAGCAGGGAGACAGCCTGGCTCCTGGCACTCAGGGGCTGCGCCCCACTGTCGCCTGCAGCCTTTGGGCAGCTGGACCCCCCAGCATGTGGCTACTTGCCTTTGCTGATATACCAGTCCAGGCTGGTGGTGTCAACCATCCACCAGCATCTGCCGACCTTGACGACCATCCCGCAGGACGGCAGTTCTGTCTGGGCCTCAGGCCGGGTGCGCAGAGGTGCTGTTGCATGCAGCTGAGTGGAGGGAAGCCCGGGGTGGCAGGGGACCTTCCCAGGGTGCCGGGCGCGGAGCTAACTTGCCTTGTCCTTTGTGCCCCAGGTGCTGCTGCTTCTTTAAGAGGAAACGGAAGAAGACGGCTCAGCGTCACAAGTGACCGGTGCCTCCTGGGCCTTGCAGGAACTACTGCGCCTGCAGCTCCTGTCCTGTCTCACTGGAAGGGGCTTCTCTTTAGGGGGGAGGAGGAGGCATAGGAGGAAGAGAGAAAAAAAGAAGTGACGTTTTAAACCAAAAAGAGAAGAAAACGTTCCAAAACAAACCACTCTGGGGTGGATCTGCTGAATGGTCTCCCTCATTCACTCCAAGCCTGAAGCTCCTTTTGGGACCAGGACTGTGGCTGGCTCAGGTCTTGGTCACCCTGGGAGGGGGGCTGGCTGGCTGACCCTCCTTCATGTTGTTTACGGCAAAGGTATCATTCACGCAAACCTGAGGACTGTGCTTAGTTTCTGCTCACTTTCCTCCCCTCCCTCCCCTGCGTTCTCTGCTCCTCCATCCTCCTCCCTCCTTAATTAAGCAAAGAAATAAGGTAGGCTCAATTGGCTGTCAAGAGGGGCAGGAGGATGTGGTGCAGGCAGGAGAGTTGCATGGGAGAAGGGCCTGACTGCTGCAGCAGTAAGAGACAGGTTCCCTTTTCAGCTCCTTGGGAACAGTTACACTGTAATGTGCAAGCTGTGAGAAATTTGCAATCTACTGTTCCAGTTCGGTTTTTTTTCCAGCTCCCTTGACACCTCCCTCCTCTGACAGTTACAGAGCAATGTGGATTGTTTTAAAGAAGCTGACGTCATTGCACTTTTTATTATTTTTAGCATTTACAGATGCACATTGTATCTGTGGATCTCTGCGTGGCCATGCCGTGCCAGCGCAGACAGACATTCAGCTGGGAAGACAGTGGGGTCCAAAGAATGCCCTCAAGTGGGGATGTCAATGACATCCACATGACCCTCGTGCCAGTCTGGGGTTCCCAACGCCCACCTTGGGCCATGCGCTGAGGAAAGCATACTTGAATTTTCAATCACCCTTTCTAGCTGCCAGTGAATGTCCCTACCATGGTTTCCTACACTGTGCCTGACCCAACCAGCCAGGAGATGCAAGGCCATAGCCCAGCATTGGCAGGAGGGAGCAGTGTCAGCTTTGCTGGGCTGGAGGAGTTTGCGCTGGCTTAAGAGGTAGACCTGGATTAAGGTAACTGGGAGGCAGCCATTTCCCAAAGTGTAGGTGTTTCTCGGTGTGGGCAACCAGGCAGCCTTCTCAAATCCCTCCAGTAGGGTGGTTGTGAACATGTACCTTCTGTGAGAAAATGTTAGCAGGAGCAAAGCTTCCCCAGCAGGGGAGAGGATACTTCACTGCCTTAACACTGATTTCATCTCCAGATGGTCAGATAGGTTTGACTGGAATAGCCTTCACATCCTCTCTGCGAGCATGGGTCTGGGGCACATCGGACACCATCCCACCCGACAGGAGAAGCCATGGTTCTCATGCACCACTTTTGAGCCAAACCAATAGCTAGCAAAGGGCTTGGGGTGCTTTGCATACGTGTTAAAAAAACCCCAACCAAACGAAAAAACAAAACTTGCATCCTGTTGCAGCATTCCAAACTTGGAGGAGGCCAAGGTTGCCCAGGCATTACCAGAGATGTGGCAGGGCTGTGGGAGAACTCAAGCAGCTTTTGGGGGGGTTTTGAATAGGTTCCTTTTACTTTGTCTTTCCACCTGTGACACCTGACCAGCTGGGACTGTTCACTTGAGGGACTTCGCTTGTCATAAACTCAGGCCTGGCTCACCCCAAAAATCCCAGAGAGCATGAAGGGAGGAAAGGGAGAGACTAGATCTCATTATCTTTTATGTTTTTTTAATGATGATCTGTGTAGCTTGGAGTTCATGGAGTGGCACTGCTGGGAGGTTTGGTTCCCCTGGCTGGGCAGAAGCAGGCTTAGAGGGCAGGAGATCATCCTGGTCAGGGAGCTTCTGGGCTTGCTCTTCATGCATCCCTAAAGCAGACAGACGCTGGTGTAGCACCCCGGCGGAAAAGCCTCACCTCCTTGCCAGGATCCTCATAGGGCGTCTCTTTGCCATTCTCCGCTGCGTTCTTTCCATGCCTTATCTTGACGAGCGCAGCTCGGAGGCACAGAGCTCTTTGCTCACGCACCCACCAGGAGATGTGTGCACCCCCCCTTCTCATTCTGCAGAGCGCTTTCCTCAAGCCATACCATGGGCCGGGGCAGGAAGGGGACCACTCACCTCCCACAGGCACGTGCTGGGGTGCTTCGCCCTCTCATCCCCTCCTACCAGAGGGAGGACGGGGACCATGGCCGCATTCCACCCTTCTCTTTCCAAACTCCTTTGCTGCCAGTGGCTCCCAGAAGCCCGGTGTCTGTGGCACAGGCATTTCCCTCTCTGCTGTAGGAAACCAT